GCCTTAAGCATGAAAGCCGGTTGGACGAGTTTGGGCCAATCAATAGGAGGCAGAGAGTTCTGGTCCCGCCTTAAGCATGAAAGCCGGTTGGATGAGTTTGGGCCAATCAATAGGAGACGGAGAGTTCTAGTCCCGCCTTAAGCATGAAAGCCGGTTGGACGAGTTTGGGCCAATCAATAGGAGGCAGAGAGTTCTGGTCCCGCCTTAAGCATGAAAGCCGGTTGGATGAGTTTGGGCCAATCAATAGGAGACGGAGAGTTCTAGTCCCGCCTTAAGCATGAAAGCCGGTTGGACGAGTTTGGGCCAATCAATAGGAGGCAGAGAGTTCTGGTCCCGCCTTAAGCATGAAAGCCGGTTGGATGAGTTTGGGCCAATCAATAGGAGGCGGAGAGTTCTGGTCCCGCCTTAAGCATGAAAGCCGGTTGGACGAGTTTGGGCCAATCAATAGGAGGCAGAGAGTTCTGGTCCCGCCTTAAGCATGAAAGCCGGTTGGACGAGTTTGGGCCAATCAATAGGAGGCAGAGAGTTCTGGTCCCGCCTTAAGCATGAAAGCCGGTTGGATGAGTTTGGGCCAATCAATAGGAGACAGAGAGTTCTAGTCCCGCCTTAGGCGTGGAAGTTAAATGGGAGCCTTCCAATCAGTTCCCCTCTCTCAGCCCAAGCCACCTTGCAAGGTTGTTGTGGGGAAAACGGGAGGAAAGAGTATTAGCTCACGTTCCCCGCTTTTAAGTTACCTGTGAAATCGCAACGGCGGGAGAAAAATGTATATATCTTGTTCCTTTCCTCTAGAATGGCTTCAGCTCGGTGGCACCGACGCAGTTGCAAACCACCCAGACAACTGAAGGTAAGGCCCCCTCCCCCCTTTGCTTGGGCATGTGAGGGGGAGAGCAGGCGGTCTTCTGACTTCGGCTTCCCAAGAGCTGACGCAGAACCGCCCGAAGAAAAGAATAGCTGAGAAATCAGGGTCGGCTTGGGAGGAAAGCCAAGGGTGAATGACCCCTCCCAGAGGACATATAAAAGAGGAGCGAAAGGGGGAGGGGGCTTTTGCAGGAAACGATTCCTTCGTCCGTTAAGATTCGTTTCAGGAGTGTGAAGATCTGCCCGTCAATCTCCGAGACTCTCTGCCCAGAGTCTTTCCTTGCCCAGCACCTCATCTGGGATAATATTGGCAGCTTTCCAAGACAGATGAGGTCTGTGGCGATACGTACTCCTTTGAGAGACTGTTTGGCGAGCCTTGGCCGAAGGCGGAGAGGGATTCACATTCGTTGAACAAAAGGGGTTTTTATCAGGACCAGGACTCTTTCGGGAAGCCCTAGAACGCTTCCTAGGTCAGCGATGGCAAACTTTCCCAGTGCCCAAAACGGGAACATGCATGCATGCGTGTGAATGTGTCCATGCCAGAGTGCCAGAAACCTTGGAAGACCAGCTGGCTGGGTGTGCACATGCCTCCTTTTTTTTTTGCTGTTTTTTTGGGGGGGACATTTTCAGGCTGTTTTTCGGGCCTGAAAACACAGCCTGAAAATGGCCCAAGAAGGGTATGAAAAAGCCCCCCCCCCCCCATTCCGATGCCCGCAAAGACCAGCGTTGCCACCTCTGGCATGTGGGCCATTCGTTTGCCATCAGAAGACCTCCTAGGTGTTTCTCCACCTCGGCCATTTTAAGAGGCGTGGACTTCAACTCCCAGAATCCCGCAGGAATTCTGGGAGTTGAAGTCCTCGCCTCTTAAAGCCACAGACGGTGGCCTAACATGGTCACTTTTAAGAGCCCGTCCCCAGCAGAATCACACCAGCAATAGAACATTTCCCATTCTGCCATTGGCAAACCCCCAAAGAGCCCTATTGGCTGCTTACGCCCTCTGCTTCTCTCTTGCCTCTTTGACCTCCCCCCCCTCCCCTCCCCACCAGGTTCCGCCGGGTCTGCAGTCAAATCCGACTCCCCTTCGGCCCCCAGCATCACCGCCCCTCTGAGCGACGCCGTATCGGCCGCCTCCCTGCTGACCACAGCCACCCAGCATTCCTCGGTGCTGAGCAGCCTGAATCACGCCGAGGAGCTCTCGAATACAGCCGCCACGCAACACAGCAGGTACCAGCGAGAGATTGGGAGGGCCGCTGCCAGAGAGCCCCCCTTCCCCCCAACTCTTCACCTTCCGTGCCTCGAGCTTACAGTTCCTGTTCTCCCCCACCATAGAGTCTCCTCCTAGCATGGTGTCCTTTTTCCTCTGCCTGTCCTAAGCGAAACCCTTATCGATTACTCTTATTTTTATCTTTGCGGCTCCTGGGCCCAAAATCTTACAGCTATCGAAGCCCCCCCAAAACCCTGCAAAGCTCGCTTGGAAAGAGTAAACTTTACAGCAGATACCCCCCCCCTTGACTCGTATTTACGACGGTTGCAGCGTCCCGGGGTTATGTGATTTCCCTTTTTTCCCCAACCTTCTGTCCGGCCAAGTCAACGAGGAAGCCCGATCGACTTCACAACTAAACTTTAACAGCTGTCGTGATTTGCTTAACCAATCATGGCAATGAAGGTCGTAAGGTTGGGAGGGGAGGGCAAAACTCACTTCCACCCGTGTCTCACTTAGCCACATAAATGTTGGGACTCCACATTGTGGTTGTAAGTCGAGGGCTTCCTGTATTCTTTCATCTCTCTGCTGGCAGAGGAAAAAGGATGCCCTGCTAGGAGGAGACTCTATGGTGGGGGGGAACCGGACTTCCGCTCGGCTCCAGAATTGAACGACGGGTTAGGATCGTTGTGGCTCTTTGAGTGTTTTAAGCTTGCCGAGCCCTGGACTAACTTTTTAAACAGCGGCTGGCAGTTTCGCTTAACAGTTGTGTCAAGGGAGGTCACACAATGAGGAGAAATCTACCTTAAAACAACGGAAAATTTGGGTTCCGTGGTCGCCGTAAATCGAGGACTTTTTTAACGCCTGCATTTCCGAAGACAGGCAGCTTCAAATCGTAGCACAGCAGCAGAGCAACAACAAGGATTAAGAAAAACGAGGGTCTTTTAGTTCGATTTCACTAGAGAAATCCGTGTCGGAGAAAACCGGGTCGACTTAAATGATTGTGAACCTGGAAGGAAGGAAGGAAGGAAGGAAGGAAGGAGATGGGAATGAAGGGAAAGGAAGAAAGAAGATGGGAATGAAGGGAAAGGAAGGAGATGGGAATGAAGGGAAAGGAAGGAAGGAAGGAGATGGGAATGAAGGGAAAGGAAGGAAGGAAGGAAGGAGATGGAAATGAAGGAAAAGGAAGAAAGGAGATAGGAAGGAAGGAAGGAAGGAAGGAAGGAAGGAAGGAAGGAAGGAAGGAAGGAAGGAGATTAAAATGTTGATTTACCAGCCTTGCTGTTTCTTCCCACAGTACCTTACCTGCCCAACAGAACAGCCTCTCTTCCTCAACTTCCTCTGGTCGCACGTCAACTTCGACTCTCTTGGTGAGTGGGGGGTCCTGAACCAGGGGCGAGAGAGAGAAATATCTGAGAAATATTCAATAGAATAGGATATAATTCAATATTAAGACACCCCCTCTCTCGGCTCTGAGCCATCTCCTCCTCATGCCCCCCTGTGGCTTTCTCCCCCATCGTCTTTCCCCCTCCTCTCTCTAGCACACCAGCATGGAGAGCGAAGCCGTGCTCCACTCTTCTACAAGCACTTTCTCCACCGCCTCCAGTACCGTCTCGGCTGCACCGCCGGTGGTGAGCGCTCCCTCAAGCCTGAGCAGCGTCAGCAGCCTGGGCCTGAGCCTCAGTAATAACTCCACCGTGACGGCCACCACACGCAACTCCATAGCCACGACGTCAGGTGCCTCCTCAAGGACCAGGGTTGAGTTGGGTTGGGTTGAGTTGGTTGGTTGGTTGGTTGGTTGGTTTGACAATCTTGGTGATGACGGTTGGATTGGGAGAGGATTTCAAGGTGGGTGGAGTCCTTTGAAGGAGGGCAGGTCAAAAAAGAAATGACTGTGTGGGATTCTAGGATAGCCGAACCAGTAAAGCCTGGGAGAAATTTCTCTCTACTCCGCCGTATAGCGAAACTGAATCATGTTGGGGCTGTCTTGAGTCTCTTCCTCACCCTCTGCACTTCCCCAGGATGAAATTATAACCCTCTTTTCTCCTCCCCCTCCTTTTCCTCTTCATCGTTTCCTTCTCCTTTCTCGTCTCCTCCATCTTCATAATTTCCATCTCCTCTTTATTTCTGCTCCTCTTCTTCTTTTTTCTCCTCTCTTCTTTTTCTCCCTCTTCCTTTTCCTCCTCTCTGTTTCTCCTCCTCCTCTTCTTCCTTTTCCTCCTCCTTTTCCTTTCTTTTCCTCCTCCTCCTTTCTTCTCCTCCTTCTCTTCCTTTTCCGCTCTCTTTTCCTGCTCTTCCTTTTCCTCTTCTTCGTCTTCTCTGTTTTCCTTCTCCTCTCTTCTTCTCCTCCTCCTTGTCATCTTCATTGTTTCCTCCTCCTTTCTCTTCTCCTTCATAATTTCCATCTTCTCTTTATTTCTCCTCCTCTTATTCTTTTTCTCCTCTCTTCTTTATCCTCTTCCTCCTTCTCTCTTTTTCTCCTCCTCCTTTTCCTCCTACTCCCGTCTTCTACTCCTCCTTCTCTTCCTTTTCCTCTTCTTCCTTTTCCTCCTTCTCCTCTTCCTTTTCATCCTCCTTGTCATCTTCATCATTTCCTTCTCCTTTCTCTTCTCCATCTTCATAATTTCCATCTCTTTATTTCTCCTCTTTTTCTCCTCTTCTTTTTCTCCTCCTCCTCCTCTTCTTTTTTCTCCCTCTTCCTTTTCCTCCTCTTTGTCTTCTCTCTTTTCCTCATCTCTTCTCCTCTTCCTTTTCCTCCCCCCCTTCTTCTTCTTCCTCTCCTTTTTCTTCCTCTTCCACCTCTTTTCCTCCCCCCTCCTCCATCTTCTTTATCCTTATAGGAAAGGCTCCCCCCAACCTGCCTCCCGGCGTGCCACCATTGTTGCCGAACCCGTACATCATGGCACCAGGGCTGCTGCACGCCTACCCGGTGAGTCAGGCCCACCGGGCCATCCTCCCCACCAGCGAACCCACGCCAGTAGATCCTACTCCACTCTTAAACCAGTAGAGGAGCAGGAGGGACAGCGCGTGGGAGAACAACCCCGAGCAGTACCGGATGTGGTTGACGCAGCCCCTCAAACACTGCCTGAACTCACAACAACTGTCTCGGACAAGAAGAAGAAGGGAAAAAATTGCAAATAAGGAGGGCTCTCTTTCACTGGGGAGAGAAAATCTAGTTTATTCCTCAGCCCATCTCTAAATCAGATAATCTTGTCGCTGTTAACAGAGCACACCAGTTAGAGTAGCTGTTCTCCCGGGGATTTTGGGAAGTAAAATATCCAGGGTAAACATTTATCCTAAAATATCATGATCCCCCCCCACTTGTTGTGGCCTGGCTGCAGATTCAGACAGTGAGGAGGTTGGGGAGGAAGATGGGCCAGTCCTGGAGTCTGGGGAGGGCTCTGATGAGGGCTCTGTGTCGGAGGCAGAGAGGAGGCCAGAGCCGTCCGACAGTTACCAGCTGCCTTCAGAGTCAGACATCAGTGAGGCAGAAGAACAGCTGGAGCCTGTCCCCAGTGTGCGGATGCGCAGAGCTGCCAGACAAAGGGAACGGCTAAAGAACAGGGGTCGACTTGGGAGTAAGGCCACAGGTGGACAATGAATAGGGAATAAAAGAGAAGCGAAAGGGGAGTAGAGTTTGCAGGAGACCATTAGTTTGCTTCATTGGCTCATGACTCTCCGAGACTCCTGGCCAAGTTCTGCAGAGATCAGCCTGGCAGCTCTCCAAGCCAGATAAGGTCTGTGACTGTAAATCCTCCCTCGAAACACCTTGGTGGAGGTGAATGGGCAGAATTCACAGCGGATCAATAAAAGGGGTTTTTCTCGAGACCAGAAGTTTGCTTCAGGCTCTTGGGAAGCCTCGGCCAGAACACCACTTGAATAAACTGTAGGAAATTTTCTCCGAGTTTCTTGATCTGATTACAGAATCCTGCTGCTTAACCAACGTAACACCAAGCATGTTATTTTATTTAGAGTTTAAGCGGTGTTACTCCGCGGTTAAATAAAAGGGACGTTCTGTGCGTTGTCAGGGAACAATCCCCAAAAAATGATCCGGTGTGCACAGTCACATATGCACAGCACAGGCTTCTTCGGTTGTCGACTTGAGTGGAAAAATCGAAAGGCTTTTTTGTTTTCCACTTGTGCATTTGTGGAGTTTAAACGTTTGGATGAAGTCTCTCCTGGATAAGGTTAGGGTTAGCACAACACATTGTAATTTTATTTTTAAGGCAGGCATATGGACCAGTATATAAATATCTTGCTGTAAATTAAAGACATCCAGATCCCTAAATCTTGTCTCTTTGAAATCCTAGTTAGGGCATCCCAAAAAAAAAGAAAGAAATAATAATAATCTCATTTGAAACATTTTGGAGATTTCCTGATTTCTCCCTCCCTCCCTCCCTCCTCTCTCTCTCAGCTTGTAATTCACTCTGTTTCTGTTGCAGCCCCAAGTTTACGGCTACGATGACTTACAGATGCTGCAGACAAGGTTCCCCTTGGTGAGTTAAAACCCAGCCTTCCCCAACAGCCAGTCCTCAGACTTACGGCCACAACTTTCTGTTGCTCAGCGAGACGTTGGTCACATGAGCCTTTGCCCCGTTTTACGAACACTCTTGCCGCCGTTGAAAGTTTCCAAACAAACCATTTAAAATGAGGATAGGGTGAAAATGCAACAGTTCTAAGATAAAATACGATAATTTGTCGGAATATAAGACCCCCCTTCCCCCCCCCCCCCCAAAAAAAAAGAGGGTGAAAATCTGGGTGCGACTTATACACTGAATACAGCATTTTTGGCCTCCCGAAAGCCCACCCCCTTCACAGACGTGTAGAGGGTTTGGGAGGCCTATATAGTGCTCCTGGGGGCTGGGGAGGGCAAAAACGGGCCATTTTTTGCTCATTTTTGCCACCCCCTCCCCTCCCCGGTCCCTAGGAACATACTACAAGCCTCCTAAAGGCTATGCGTGCCCTTTTGGGGGCAAAAAATAGGCCTGTTTTTGCAAAAAAAAAAGAGGCTTTTTTTCTTTGTTTTTGCCCCCCCCCCCAAGCCCCCGGGAGCAATTTGCAGCCTTCTCAAATTCTCTACATGCCCCGTTTTTCACCCCAAAAATGAGGTGTTCAGAGAGTTTGGGACGTCTGCAGAGTGCAAACATTTTTTTTTTTTAAAAATTACCTCTTCAAAATCTTGGTGCGTCTGATATACTCCGAAAAATATACGCAAATATGTAAAATAGAATAAAATGGGCTAAAATTATATTCCGGCATCGCCCTTGTAAACCTACCCCAATCAGGCCGTTGCCTAAGGGATTCGCCTGCACTGGTTAAATTCGTCCCTCGGTTGGGAAGGGATTCACCCTTGAATTTGCTAATCTGAAGGTCGCAAAAGGGGATCGCTTGGCCCCTGGGAACACTGCGACCGTCATAAATACGAGTTGCCAAGCAGCTGAATTTGGATCACGTGACCTGGGGGTGCTAAAACGGCCGTAACAGTGAAAAATGGTCCTAGGTCCCTTTTCTAAGTGCCGTTGTAACTTTGAATGGACTCTAAACGAATGGTTATTGTCAAGTCTTCCAAACGTAATTTCCCGTTCCTGGGGCATAATTTCACCCTCCTCCTCCCTCTCTTCCTTCCAGGACTACTACAGTATCCCGTTCCCCACCCCAACCACTCCTCTGACCGGAAGAGATGCAAGCTTGAATAGCAACCCTTATTCTGGTAAGCGGCGAGAACGGAAGGGAGGGAGATTTCTCTGGGGCAAAACAGATGGCAAACCAAATCTTTCGCCTGGTTTGGCGGCTTCGTTGTCTTCGGAGCAGGGGCCTTGTGCCATGTGAAGAAGGGCCGGGGGCGTTCTTCTCCCGAAGAGTCGGGTCAGCCTGCTCTGTTCTCTCCATCTCCCCACTCTCCGTACTCTTGGACCAGGAGGCGGTGGCTCTTGCTCCTCGCCTGAGCTTTGTCACTCATGTTCGCTGCTTAGCCTCTCTTGATCATCCTGCCCCCCTCCCCTTCCTCCCAAGCCGTCCCAATTCTGAAAGGCCTGACTGGCCCTGCTTGGAGGAAGGGGGGGGGGGGGGGGGGGGGGCCGGGGGGGGGGGGGGGGGCAGGATGACCACGAAGGGCTAAGCAGTGAACACGAGAGACCGAGAGCTCAGGCGAGGAGCAAGGACCACCGCCTCCTGATCCAAGAGTACGGAGAGTGGAAAGAAGGCGTGAACAGCGCATTCTGGAGAAGAACGCCCCGCCCCTCTTCGCAAGGCACATCTGGGGAAATGAGGCTTAAGGAGGTGCTGTGGGGAGGCGCATTTGTCGGGAGCAAACGCCGAATTCCTGAAGTGCTGGGTGCTGACGTTGGAACTTGAACTTGAGTTCCTTGCCTAATTAAAACTGGATCCTTTGCCTCCTGAACGCCTCGCTTTGCCCTGCTGGATTCATCGCTGTGCAGCCTTCGGTGTACACAGCGCTGGGCTGGACTATTTGCATCCAGAGGCTGCTTGCGGAGTGTGGGTGTGTGTGTTTGTTTATTTGCTCTGGGAGTGACCAGAAACATGGGAGCGTTGGGGAAAATTTTGGAGCAAGAAAGGAGCGGTTTGAACCGCCAGCTGCTGGTGTTATTCCCTGGGCCGTGCCCCGGGGATCATCAATAGCAATAGCAGTTAGACTTATATAGCGCTTCATAGGCCTTTCAGCCCTCTCTAAGCGGTTTACAGAGAGTCAGCATATCGCCCCCCAACAACAATCCGGGTCCTCATTTTACCCACCTCGGAAAGGATGGAAGGCTGAGTCAACCCTGAGCCGGTGAGATTTGAACCGCCGACCTGCTGATCTTGCAGTAGCCTGCAGTGCTGCATTTTAACCACTGCGCCACCTTGGCTCATCCCACCATCTTGCCCGCACGGCACGAATTTACCAGGATCACCGCTTACCTATGTGTCCCTTCCCCACCCCCCCCTTTTTTTTTTTTCTCTCTCTCCTTCCAGGTGATCTCACGAAATTTGGCCGAGGCGATGCCTCTTCCCCCGCGCCGGCGACCACGCTGGCCCAGCCTCAACAGAACCAGACCCAAACGCATCATACCACCCAACAGACCTTCCTCAACCCGGCCTTGCCGCCTGGCTACAGTTATACCAGCCTGCCCTACTACACTGGGGTTCCTGGCCTACCCAGCACCTTCCAGTACGGGCCCGCTGTCTTTCCCGTGAGTGTGGCCAGCCTGCTGTGGGATTAAAGGGGATGGGAGGGTGGGTGGGTGAGCCTCCTTCCTGCCTCTCCCCCCTCCCTCTCTTCCTCCCCCAGCTCATTCTCCCTCCTCTTTCCCCAGGTCGCCCCGACTTCTTCCAAACAGCACAGCGTCAACGTGAGCGTGAATGCCTCGGCCGCCCCCTTTCAGCAAGCCAGTGGTTATGGGTCCCACGGATACAGCACGGGTAAGGAGATGTTGAATGGGCATTGGGGGCGGGGCTTTGATTTGCATAGAGTGGGGAGGAGCAGAACCTGTTCTGACCGAGGCTTCCCGAGAGCCTGAAGCAAGCTCCTTGTTGTCCCGACAAAAAAAAACCCCTTTTATTAATTCCCCGTGAATTCTGCTCATTCACCTCCAGCAAAGTCTTTCAAAGGAGGATTTATGGTCACAGACCTTATCTGGCTTGGAGAGCTGCCAGGTTGATCTCTGCAGAACTTGGCCAGGAGCCTCGGAGAGTCCCGAACCAATGAATTGAACTAATGGTCTCCTGCAAACTCCACTCCCCCGTCGCTCCTCTTTTATTTCCTCTGGGAGGGGCCATTCACCGTCCACCTGTGGCCTTCCAAGTCGACCCCTGTTCCTTAGCTGTTCCCTTCGTCTGGCAATTTTGCGCATGAACACACTGGGAACAGGCTCCAGCTGTTCTTCTGCCTCTCTGATGTCTGACCCCGAAGGCAGCTGATAACTGTCA